CCTTTGCTATATGTGCACATTTTGTTGTTTGAATAAAATAAGTTTTCTGGTGATGGATATGATTGTTCTATTATACTTACACAGTTTCTCAATTTAGGGCAAGTCCTCCAAGCAGTCCTATATTAAAACTTATTCAGGAAAAATCAAAGTTATCTTATAATATTTGAATTGCAATAATTAAAATATTTATATCTCTACAATATTCATTGTATTCCATTTCATATACAAACATTAACTAAAACTTTAAGTCATATAATATTGTAAAAATGTAATTTAATAAACTCATAGCTTAAACCCCATTAAATAGTTTTTGTTTAATTGGGCTTACGACTGCTATAATCATTATGAAGAAAAAACTTAAGTAAATTTAAGAGCCAAAAAAAAGGCAAAAAGCAACTGAGCCCTGGGAGCTCTGAAGAGAATCATACCCCAACCAAGGACAATGCATGGAGAGGACCTAAAACCTAAAACCCCGGGCTCAGATGTAGCTCATGACAGCTCAGTATCCAAGTGGGTTCCCTAGTAAGAGGAACAGGGACTGTCTCTCTGACATGAACTCAGTGGCTGGCTCTTTGATCACCACCCCCTCAGGAGGGAACAGCCTTACCAGTCCACAGAGGAAGACAATGCAGCCAGTCCTGATGAGACCTGATAGGCTTGGGTCAGATAGAAGAGGAGGTCCTCCCCTACCAGTGGCCTTGGGGAAGGGCATGGTAGGAGATGAGGCAGGGAGGGTGGGATTGGAAGGAGACGAGGGAGGGGTCCACGGCCTGGATACAAATTGAACAAATTGTAAAAAAATGATAATAATAAAAATAAATAACATGGAAATAAGTCTTTATGGTTTATTCTGGCTTCACTGATATGGGAAAAGAAGCACATTGCTGAGAGAATGTGGAGTGCATCCATCTTAAAGATACTGTGAAAGTGAGCTAATTAGACCTTACACCCCAGAAGGTTGAAATACTTTCTTGTAGGAGCTCTTGGAAACAAATGATCTCTTTCTGATGAACTGGGGAATGAGGATGAATCCTCCCTTCTCTAATGACCATGTCCATGACCTACGTGCATGTGATGTGGTACAAAAGGGCGGAGCTGGTAACGTCTTCAGAACGTGACTCTTCATCCTGACTCCAAAATATTTGAGTATTTAAAGCACAGTAGGCAGTGTACACAGTTTCTCACACTGATAATGAAAAGCAGAAGTCAAAATACAACTCTCCTCCCGGCCACACAACAAAGAGCACAAAGTCAGCTGGTATCTCCATGGAACAGAGGCATTTTGTTTAAAAGAGACATTGTGTAAGCATGAGCCAACAAAGTAATATCAGAATCATTAAAATAAGAAGCATTAGGGTAACAAAGCTTTTTCCAAGGTAAGTCGCTCACATAATGAAATCATTCATCTTGGTAGAGCATAGCTTAGTGGTAAGTTGGCAAGCATGTCCCTGGCTCAGGGTTTGACCCTGAGCACTACAGAAACACACAACACACATCTGCACACTATCTTCCACAGAAGCATTCTAAATATTTTCTCACGACATTTGAGTAAGTATATCATAACTAATAATTGGATGTGAGATCACAACACTTGCCTATCATAACACGGTTATTAAGTGGGCCAAACTTAGTTTAACTAGTAAATGTACAATCGCTACTGCTTATCTCAAAATATTAATACTTAGCCTTGAAGTTAAATGTGTGTTGCTAGCACAAATTTCACAAAAGACTGAGTCCATGCTTTCACTGTACAAAACCACACCTGGGTTTATTCTTTTTAAGATGTTTATCATAGGGTGGAGAGTGATTGAGGGAGACATCCACCCTGGCTAACACACACACACACACACACACACACACACACACACACACAAATCTTAATTTTTTTAAAGTACCGGGCCAATATTTCTTCAAGTCTTGATGACTAAATACCAGAGGGATGAAAGCTACATTTCCTAGCTTCTTCCTCATGATTTCTTACAGTGGTAATAACACTGGGATCTTCCTTGCTCCCTGAAGGCTCCTACCATCATCCTCTCCTGAGAAAGCAGGGAAACACAGAGCCTCTGCCCTAATTACACTGAAAATGGGAGACTACTACCTGCCAGACGCAGAAGTAGCACACTTGGACTGTTGTGGGGAAGAGGCACCAGCCAGTTGTCTGAAACTCTCTGCAGGAGCACAACCCTCGCCCTGGTCTGGTGGTCTTCAACCGTTCCAAGGCTGCAACGCTTCAACACAATTCCTTGTGTTGTGGTGACCTGCAATCATAAATCTATTTCGGTTGCTGCTTCAAACTGTATCCTGCTACTGTTATGGAAAGTAATGTAAGTACTTTTGGAGTCAGGGGTTTGCAACCCACGGGTTGAGAAGCACTGGCCCTAGAAAGCAGCAGGAAAGGTTAAATGCCATCCTGACATAGCCACCGGAGTATTATGCAGAAGGTCAGAACCATGCCGTGTTCCAGAGAAAGGGCCAGGCTACACTCAGCAACATGGAGACAAGCAACAAACACGAAGTGAACTCTCCCGGCCTAAGATACTTATGAAAGTGACCAGCAAAGAGTCCACTTGACCTCCTGACTTGCCAGAACCAACCCCCTTCCGTGGAAATCTCTTCTTATGTGTTGCTTTCTCTGTTGGCAGAATAATAAACCTAGGTCTGACATTTTAGTAATTTCAGCAAAACACTTTCATTAAAGTATCTTGCTCGGGAAAGGTCTACAATAAGCAGATCAGAAGCATAAAATTTTCTAGCATCCGTGGAAGGTCACTTAAATATTGCTTGCACTATAGAGGGAAAAAAATTGCTGGAATTTTGTCTGATTTTGGTTGTGACTTTAACAGCTACATTATCTTGACACGTAATAGGTTTTAGGAATGCTTATATTGGGTATTGTAACCCTACAAAAATACCAATTAAATAATGCCTTATCAACCCAAATAGAATAAATACAGGATGGCCTCCTTAATTCGTCATTTTAAGAAACAAAGGTATACTGCAATTCTAAGTTTTAATTTTTTTCAGATATCATCTATATTGAATTTTAAGTAATAATGATTATTTATTTTATTTCTGCCATTTTTCCATTTAGGCATGGTAAATCAAGTTCCCCCAAATATACTGCAGGTTGTCAGTATACAAGCTCACTTTTTAGCTTATTTTTGTGAAGTGCAGGATGGAACTGAGTCATCACTTCCCACCTTTGTTCAGTGCTTGATCTGTTTCAACAAATCTTCTTAGTAAAATATGTAGAATCCCTTAGTTGCACTGAACCACAGATTGGACATATAATTATAATTCATAAAAAGTCACAATGTATTTGTAGAAAAAAATCATGGGAACTTAATCATTTAATACATGCTGCTAGTTTGAAAAATACCATCATTTTCCTATCGATGAATACATAAGTCATTTAATAAACTTAGTGCATTTTAATATTATCATTGACTGTCATAGATTTTAATATCACTCTCATTTTTGTTATTAAAACTGTTAACTGTCTTCTTGCAAAGATATTCTTTTAAAAATTATAGTATCATTTGCATTAAATTTCCATAGAGGACTCAAAAGGAGGAGATATTCAAACCTGATTCCTACTTTTAAATTTTTTAAAGAGAGTAACAACCCTGGTTTGCCTTAGGTAGAACAAGACCATCTCTGAGTTTGCCTCTCCTAGTATCTTTCTCACGGAGGAAGCTTGTCTGATTACTTGAGAGGCTCTTTCAGCCTGAACATTCTTTCAATCAAATCCAATGATCTGCAGACAATAAATGACATTAGCCAGTGTAAGTCCTTCAATAGGATTTTCCAATGTTTTTCCACAATTAAGCACTTTAAAATCAAATCTTTCCTAAAATCCATCCACTATCTGCATAAGGAAGAGAGGCTGCTGGTTTTTGAGACCATGTGTATCTCAGGGAAGATGGACTGTTGTCTCCCCAAGCTTTGTTGGGCTATATTCCACCGTAAACTTGGTTTCAGCACTGTGGACAGCTCCCTCCCCTGAAAGCACTGAATGGCAATCTCGGTTAGTTTCTTTACACTCCTGGAAGTAATGTTTTTTGGCTGCTGTGTTTGGTTGTGGTTCAACAGCAGCCTCGGTGTGCACGTATCCTCCTTTCGTTGTTGCTGGCCACGTTGTTTTCCCCTAGTTCTAACGAATTAAATAAACAAGTGAATATTACCCTGAGCTACTACTTTGGGGTTTTATAAGACGCTCTGCCTGTGTTCCGGAGCGTGTCACGCTAATAAGAGGATCTACTTCGCGACCTTCATCTGTCAGTCTCTAAACATGCTTATTAACCGAATGAATACCCAGGCTACAAACAAGATCGGGAAACTCATATTAATTTTCTCCTGCTGACAGCTCGGCCGCCCTTCCTCCCGTGCTGGGAAACTGGAAAGACATTTCTGAAATGGATTTGCAGTCAAGGTCAAGAGCGGGTGTCGCTCTATTTCAGGAAGGGGGCCCTAGAAACAGACCCCCGTCTCTGTTTCGGGAACTCGGGGCTCCCGTCCTGCTCCTGCCCAGTGGGGCAGTGCCAGCTCCGCTGGCAGCTCAAGTCACTGACTCCCCAAGCGCAAGCGCCCTTCCTATGCCTGCTCGGGAGGGGTTCATTGGCGACGAGAGTGCCCAGAAGCCGAAGAACAACAGATTAGCGCTCCCAGGGGCGGCCGCGGCGGGGACGGCTGGGACCTGTGAGTCACCGTCTCCGGAACCCCAGACGCACCTTGTTTTCGTTTGGGGAGCAGCGCCGGCGAGGCTGCCCGCCCGGTCCCAACTCTCCCCACGACCGAAAGTAAAAGTTTCCCCGGCGAAACTTAGCAGCCGCCCGCGCAGGGGTCACGGGGGCCCGTCCATCCCCAGCCGTCCCCGAAGTTCAGCAGGCGGAGGGGGGGGCGGGGAGAGGCTCCCCATCCTAATCCTCTCCGCGGCGGGAAGCAGAGGGGCGGCGGGGGGCGCGCCGGGGCGGGGGCGGCGGGGTGGGGCGGCTCACCTGAAGTCGCTGTACGGGTGGATGATCCAGAAGCCTGCAGTTTTAACCCTTTCCTGCTCCTTCTCCACCGCCTTCTGGCTGCCGAACATGCGGAGGGAGAATTTGTTGACCCCCGGCTGCAGCATCGAGGTGAACTGCCTCTGCATGAAGCCGTACTGCCGCCGCGGCCCCTCGGCGTCCTCGAAGCCGCCCGCCGGCTCCTCGGCCCCGCCGCCGTCCACCTTGAAGCACACGGAGTTGCCGTGCTCCTTGCCGGCCGCGCCGCCCCCCGGCGGGGTCCCCAGGCGCTTGTCGGCCGCCGCCGGCCCCGTCGCGGGCGCCTTGGAGGGGAAGACGCCGTTGCCATCGTCGCGGCCGTGCGGCGCCGAGTTGGGCTTGCCGCCGCCTTCCATGCCCGGAGGACGCGGCCGGCGACGGCGCGGGCTCCGGACTGGCCGGGGCTCGGGCCCGGCTGGCCGTCGCGGCGGCGGCGGCGGCGGCGGCTGCTCTCCCGCCCGCGCCGCTGCCCTCGG